CTTATGGCAGCTTCAAGATGGTTGGCATCAGCCCCTTGACTTCTGGTTATGGCAATTAAGTGGGACTACCACATGATATACCATCTTTGAACAACAGTTGTTAGCCATGTACTGGGAATTAGAGGATACTGAAGCTCATACTTCCAGTCATGAAGTGTTGCTTAGGACAGAGAGTCCGATTATGACTTGGGTCCTAAGCAATCCTTCCACTCATAAGATAGGACATTCCCAGGAAGCCACTATACAAAAAATGAGATGGCACATACAAGAGCAGGCAAAGTGGGGACCAAAAGGAGTGCAGTATTTACATAAATTGGTAAGTGACAGAATGACTGGGGCCCCCAGACCACTAAACTGTGAACAAGTAAATTACCAGACTGCCAGATGAGGTCCCCCTTATGAGGAGTTGACAAATGAGCAGCGCGAGACTGCCTGATTCACAGATGGAAGTAGTAATGGTACTAAGAAGAGGCACGCGGTGACATTTAATCCCAGTACCAAAACGTGCTTGGCAATGTACGGAACCTCAGGCAGTAGTCAGTTGGCAGAATTGGTTGCAGCCTGGCAAATCATTGACGCGACCCTGGAGGGAAGAATATGTTATCTATTTACAGATTCCTGGGCAGTGGTGCAAGGGCTGGTGAATTGGCTAGGTAAATGGCAGCACGATGAATACAAAATAGGGACCAAGGAGGTGTGGGGGGAGGAGTATTGGCAGAAAATATGGGACGCTTTACGAACTGCGGTGATCCAAGTGCATCATGTGGATGTGCACACTACCACAAGAACAGAAACCGTGCAGTGGAATACAGAGGTTGACAAGCAGGCGCATGTACATAGCATAGAGATAGACCAAGAGGAACAAATGGGCTTGGTCTGACGGGCCCATGAGAAAGCAGGGCATGCAGGTAGGGATGCCACCCAAGGCATGGCCCAGGGGGTGCTGCTGTCTCAGAATATGATAGAACAAGTTATTGCAAACTGTTCAGTCTGTCAATTACTAAAACAGGCCAAGGTGTTCTCTACTCCCATGGGAAAACTGCAACGGGGATTAAAGAGAGCAGAAATTTGGCAGATTGCTCAGGTAAGGGTCTGATAAAATCACAGATGGCAATGTTATGCCTGTGTAGCCGCAGACACCTTTTCCAGTGTCATCATGGTAATTCCCACATGGTATGCAAATGCCCATGCGACGGTTCGTTGTTTAGAAACCATTGAAATACATTCTGGAACTCCAGTAGAAATCCAGTCAGACAATGCAACACATTTGAAGAATGCAAAGGTAGCTCAATGGGCCCATGAACGTAGTATCACCTGGACCTGGCATGTACCCCACCATCCATAAGAGGCAGGATTAGTAGAATGAATGAACAGGTTGCTAAATTCACAGTTGAAACGTTTGGAAGGAGGTACATATTCTAAATGGGTTGATCATCTAAGTGAGGCTCAATGCATTTTGAATAACCACATGCTATCTCCTACTTTGAATCCTTTGAATTTAATGAAAGGAGAAACCTGGGAAATTGGTCAGGTAGCTCATGGTTCAATCACTATCCAGGGAGCAAAGGATTATGTAGTATACTCTGAAAAAGTAAGTTTAGTAATGATTTGAAAGCAACCCTTAGACTTACAGGCACAACAAACATAGCGGGATCAAACAGATGTGGTAATCCATGTGCAACCTAGTGGAGGGGTACTTATGCAGATAATAACATTGCATCCTGATCTAAAGAAATTAGACATCCACCTAGTAAATCTTGTACAAACGGATGTTAAAAAGCCCATTCTGTTAGGCCTGAGGAATACATCTAACTGGAAACAGATCCTTCCTGCCAGAACCTGGTGTTATATTTAGTATGTCACAGGCTTGGTAAAATTAAGTGGCCCTGCTCGCCAGTTCATGGGTGGGAAAGTATGGTATCAAAAGCCAGGTAGTTTGGCTCTGATGCCAGCTGAGCTCCTAGCCGCAGATGATTCTCATGCAGTCACCATTATCTGTCCTGGGTCCATTCAGTGGCTTAGGGCTCCAGCAGAATACTCATGACACAGGGAATTGGTACACCCAGGGGGAGGGGCAAACCTGTTCTCATTTTGATTTTCAGACTTTCAGCATCACCTGTCACCCAGCCCATAACCAATGTGTGCATCACTCTCGCCCATATCACCTACCATGATACCTTATGTGTAAGTACAGCTATGCCATCGAATCCATTTTCAACATGTCTCATTGGAGTGCCTTTAATGGAAGGAGAATTGATGGAGGCAGTGAACTTAAGTTTATCAGACGTGCAGCAGACAGCCTTCGGGAACTGAAACAGTAAACAAAATTGGGATAGCTGGTTACCACAGATTGGAAAGACTCCAGTGTTACGTCCTCAAGAGTTAAGTCCATACCTGGGAATGCCTGTTGTACTTCCTTTAACTATACTGAGCAGTTTGTAACGTATAATAGTATTATGGATGTAGGATCAACTAATACTGTGTATAGAAATCGTAGTTTGTGGTGTAAAACCCAAAGTCGTATGGTCACTATGTCTTTTAATTCACCCATGTCCCTACCATCTGGGCTCTTTTTACTGTGTAGTGATAGAGCTTGGTATGGCATCCTTGCTGCGATTAACAGAGGTCCATGTACTTTTTGAAAATTAACTTTGTTACAACCCAATGCTATGGCAGTGGCGTTAAAGTCTTGCAAATGCCAGAAAAGGTCCCATGGATTCAATGACAGCTGTGACAGTAATGTTGACTTCTGGAATGCAGAACGAATTATTCTGGCATCCTTCTTTGCTTCTGGAGTGGCATCAGCACGGGCATTGGCCACCTTACAGAAACTTGGATGTTGGTTAGTAAAAGAGAATAACGCCACCACTGATGCTATTCGGGATCTGTTAACTGATGTGGACTCCATTCAACATGTCACTCTTCAAAACAGAGTGGCTATTGACTTTCTTCTACTAGTTCATGGACATGGCTGTCAAAATTTTGATGGCATGTGTTGTATGAATATATCTGATCATTCTAAATCTGTTCACGCTCATTTATCTGATTTGCAAATTTTATCTAGGTGACTGCAGGTAGAGGATAGCTGGAACCCCTTCAGTAATCTCTGATGGGGATGGCCTTGGCTCCAAGAATTACTCCTTTTTGGACTCTTATTATTAATAATATTTTGTTGTATTATATGTTGTATATCTTTATTATTTTCTTATATTCAGTGAATGACAGCTCACCTAGTTTTTCCACTGGAGGTTCATATGATTTGTTTCAGGGACGATCCATATACGGACCACATGGTGGCATGTGTTAGGCAAGCCTAACACATAAAGTAATAGTCTGTGGTGGCTCGCCACCCCCCCCTCAGGCGTGGCCTGCTTTAGCTCCTCCCCAGAAGGTCCTGCTTTGGTTCCTAGCGAGCAAATCCAGCTATGGTTCCTACCCGGAACCAAAGTTCCGCTTTAGAACTCCCCGAAAAAGTCTCGACTCTTGGAGACCTTTCTAGATATTGTGGGCCACTTCTTCCGACATAGGCTGGCCCCTTGTGTCAGAATGAGTGTGCAGTTTTGTCAGTCTAAAAGCCTGAGCCTCATGCGATGCAAAGTCACAGAACTTCATGCCATCCAGGTCAACGTTGCCTCTGGGGGGACACCCACCATGGTAGAGCCTGCCTCTCACACTGCGATGATGATCCTGGGTGCTGGTTTCCTGATTGGCTTCACAGGGTCCTTGGGGTTGGTAATATATACACTCTTTGGAAGTATCCTTTACCTGTTAGATTCTCTGTATTTTCCTATATTAATAAACTATTTGTGAGTTCTCTATTTGTCTCTCGTTTTCTCTCATCTGGAATCCTCAAACTCTGGAACAGAGATAATAAAAGGTACTTTTACAAATATATTAGCAATAAAAGGAGGGCCAAGGAAAACCTCTGTCCTCTACTGGATAGTAGGGAAAACCTAGTGACTGAGGATAAGGAAAATGCTGAGGTACTCAATGCAGCCTTTGCTTCAGTCTTTAGCAGTCACACTAGCCACCCTTGGGGTATTTTTTTGTAGCCTTATGAGAAAAGGCTGAGAGACCTGGGGTTGTTTAGTCTGGAGAAGACAAGGCTCGGGGGGACCTTATCACTCTCTACAACTACCTGAAAGGAGGTTGTAGTGAGGTGGGTGCTGGTCTCTTCTCGCAAGTAACAAGTGATAGGACAAGAGGAGGTTTAGATTGGATATTAGGGAAAATTTTGTCACTGAAAGGGTACTCAGGCATTGGAACAGGCTGCCCAGGGAAGTGGTGGAATCACCATCCCTGGAAGCATTCAGACTCTATGTAGATGAGCCCCTCAGTGACATGGTTGAGTGGTGGTCTTGGCATTCCTGGGGTAATGGTTGAACTTGATGATCTTAAAGGTCTTTTCCAACCTAGCTGATTCTATGACTCTAAGATTTAAACAAATTTACTCTGCCACCCTGTCTGCATATCAGAAGGGATTTTCCAAGATCATGCCACAAATGTGCTTTGCATCACATTAACTAAATGACCATATCTCCACGGCCTTTCCATTGAAAATTTAGGCGTAAGGCACCTCCCCCAGTGAAAACCTATGCACTCCCGCGGCCTCAAGAGCGCTGCCTTAGACTTGTAGTATGGATGATTTGGTGCTCTTTGCGGGCTTCTTTTTGTGGTCAGAATGAACACAAAATACTCAAACACCTACTCCGGCAGGAGCCCCAAAGCCTTTCAGGTACCTCCCTGACAGCTCCGCGCTACAGCCCCGTTACCGTGGGCAAGACGCTCCCCTTATCCCGCTCCGCCAGCGCTGGCCAATCAGAGCGCTTTCCCCTCAGGGCGCAGCCCCGCGACCGTAGGGAGCCGAACTGCTTCGCTTCTTTCCGTCAGCGGAGGCCCGGTGTCTTCCGACTGCACCGGAAGTTAGCACCGAGGCTTTTCGGCAGCTTCCGGAAACCCGGAAGGGAGGAGGTCGAGCGCGTTCGGGTGTCTCCGTCACCATTGGAGAAAAAAGGGCTCCCGAGCTCCCGTCTCGACCGGTCATGCGGCTGCTCTCGCGAGCTCTCCGGGTGGCGCAGGGCTGCCGGGCCGCCGCGCTGCCCCATCAGAGCCACCGAGCAGCGACGGGCAGGGGCAGCGCGGCGGGGTCGTGCCTGCTGCTGCCGCGCTGCGGCCTGAGCGCCCGGCCCGGCCTACAGGAGTTGTTTGCCGGCCCCGCCTTGCGCCGCCTGCTGGAAGCGCAGGGCGCGGGCGGGGTGGGGCCGGAGTTGGCGGCGCGGGTCCGGCGGCTGGGCGACAAGGAGCAGGAACTGTGCGAGATGCGGGAGCTGGCGCGGCAAGGTGCGGAGCCGCGAGGGGCGGGGACGGTATTTGCATGTGCCGGCGCAATTGGCAGTGAGGCGCGGGGTGGTGGGAGGGCGCTGAAACGCGGGAGGTAGGGGAGGAGCGGGGGAATTGCGGGACGGCTCCGTCGTGCCTTCCATGGCTGAAGGTGGAGGCCTGGATCCAGGTGCGTGTCAGCTGACGCTTGAAGGAAAGGCAACAGCATCAGTGTCAAGAAAAATAATGATAATAAATCTGGCAGAGAAAACTTCTTTTTTTTTTTATTATTTTTTCCTTGGATGTAGGCCTCAGCATCAGTTCGTGCTGCCCCCACCCTGCGGTTTAACTTTGTATTGCGTTAGCAGCTACACGCTGTTATAGTTCCCAAATAGTGAATATTTTTTACCCTGAATCAAACTTCATTTGGATAGCAGTTAGAAACCAAGATGCAGGAAAGGAGTACTGTAAGATCAGTAAGCACTCACTAGATCATGAAATGTTTGCTAGATCCATACTTTGCTAAATACTGAATAATCGAAAGTGTTAACTGTACTCAGTTTTCAGACTAATGGAGATGGCAGACACTGCCTAAAAGTAAATGGTATTTTTTTTCTTTTTTTTTTTTTTAATACAATTAATTCTCTCCCACCTCAGACTGAAAAAGGAGAAATAGTTCCTGTGAACAAACTAATCATTGACTCAAACTGAATGAATAAAATGGAATGGAAGATAATTTTTTTTCTCCTTTCAGAACCTAAAGAAGGCAGTGCCATCAAAACCAGGTTTAGAACTTCAGCAAAGTGAAGTGGTCACAAGGGCTTAGTAACTTTGAGCACTTCTGTAGCTCATCCTTTAAAATATTTCTGTATGTTATTTTAAACCGATTTTAGAGCCTATGTTATATTTGCATCTTAAAGTATGCAACTGCTATTGTATTAGATTATTCTTAACTGCATAATAATTGCATTATCAGTAGCTGGCTTGACTCAAATAGATTTCTGATGCCTTAATGCTTATTCTTATGTTAGCCTTAATGACTAGCACTTGATCAGTCAGTAGGTATTGTAAAAAAATAAAGAGAATTGGAGGTGATCAGGTTGACATGTTTGAAGAGTTACAATCAGGTAGTCAGCCGTGCATACTCTCAGTCAGCTGCAGGAAAAGCATACCTGATGTTGAAACCAATTTACACATTATTATCTTTTTTTCTTCCCTTCTTACAGAAGGGGTGGGGTGTGTAATTCATCAACATTAAACCTAAATTGTAAAGTCAAAAAGTTTCTTTTGACATTGTGCTAGTGACTAAATGCTGTTATAGTGCTGAAAAGGTGTGGCTTTATTATGAGTGCATCTCCTGTCTCCACTGAATGCATTTAAAACCTTGCTGTACACAGAAAAAAAAAGAGTCTAGCATCTTTCTTTTTCTTGTTTTGCTGCTAACTGCAGTTAGGTGTCCCTGTGCCTGCCCTAGTTCTCCCTTTTCTACTGTGTGTACCATTTTCTCCTTTTGGGTTTTTTATGTTTAAATGGAACTTCTTGTATTCCAGATTTTCCAGTGTCTCACATCTGAACAATATGCGGAAGTACTCTTAATATGTACTGTGTATCTTTGTTGCAGATTGTATTATTAACCTCTTTTTCTGACAGACTTAGTGTGTTGGGGGGATGGATAGATTTAGGGTTTGGTTTGGGGGGGGGGGGATTGTTCATTTGTTTGGGTTTGGGTTGTTTTTTGGTTTTATTTGTTGGGGATTTTTTTTGATTTTGCTTTTTTTTTTTTTCTTAAGAGTAAGTTGTTCATGTAGTTATTTTTCAGAACGTTTTTGACAGTGACACCGGTACAAGTCTGAGGATTAACCATACCAAAATATTCCAGATGAGAGTGAAGATTTGCGGAAGCTTGCGGAAAAGGAGATCGCCACCTGTGAAGAAGAGATAGCTGAACTGAAACAGCAGGTTAGATACCCTTTAAAAGCCTCTATTTCCTTGCCATTCTTTAAATTAACAAAGCCAAATTGCCTTGTCTTCAAAATAAGATATATAGGATAAACTCTTCTCCTCCCCTCCCTGCCAATAATACTTCTCAATTAGCATCTGTTATCAAAGAAAAATGAAAAATGCAGATGGTATAGAGACAGCCTGAAAGTGTGTGCTTACTTCTTCCTGAAATTGTTTGAATCAATTCATCTTTATAAGTAGGTGCTACAGCTTTTCTTGGCTGAGTGTAGCTTTATGGATGTCTGGCTTTTTTATCTATTGGAAGCATTGGACTTGTGTAGTATGATCCACACTAGTGTTTTGGTTTTTTTTTTTTTAATAAGCTAATACTATGTAACTACTTTAGACGGCTACCTTATATAGGTTCTACATAGTATCTATGTTGTTTAACAGTAGTGATCTTCGCATAAACAGTTACATATTCTCAATGTTACTGGTGAAGTAGAAGCTGGGATTGTCACATTTATTCCTTCAGCAACAAGCCAAGAGTCACTTTATAGGTACTTTTGTAAATATTTATGATTTTGACAAAAGGAGAAGTCTGTGGAACAAAACATCGTCTTAATGCTGGTACGGTAAGATGATTGAAAAGCATTTGCAAATCATCCAGAGTTTTGATCCAGCCTGCAAAATTGTGATACAGTTTTTTTGGTTCTAGCTGTCTTCTACAGATCAAGATAAGGCTGGCTCTCCCTTTTTTAGTAAAGAAATTAGTAATACAACTTGGTTGTTGTTGGACTCTCTTCCTGAACACCCTTACCTTCTTAGCTCTGCAGTGGAGACCAGATTGAAAGGGAATCTAATGAGAAGCAAGAGACTCATCTGGCTTGCAAGAACCATTGTGTATCCTGTGGTGTCCAAACAATGCAGTGCTCCTGATGGGTAAAAATCCCTGTAAAGTTTTCTAGGTCTTGAAGGAGACTGATGTAGCTCCAACAACTGTGAACAGACACAGAGAGCATCCCTTCCCACCTCTTCCTCACTGCTCTTTCTTCACTGCAAGAGCATGGGAAGCCTGTCCTCCCAGCAACCAGCAAGTTAGTGCAGAAGAATGCAGCCTAGATTGATTACATTCTTGTCTGCCATTTTTTACTATCTCAGTAGTGGATAGCAGCGTCAGAGGGAAGTCTTAGGTGGGTGTTTTTGTATTCGCAGATAGTGTTGCTTTTGATTCCTTCAGAAGAAACAGACGAGAGTGATCTTGTCATGGAAGTAACCGCTGGAGTTGGAGGGCAGGAAGCCATGCTGTTCACCTCGGAGATATTTGATATGTATCAACGATATGCTGCCTATAAAAAGTGGAAATTTGAAATATTAGAATACTTTCCCAGTGAAATAGGTCAGTAATGAAAACACGTAATCTTTGTAACTTTTTAATTTAAGTTGAAACACTCATTCATTTGACACTTGCATTTCATGACTAGAGGAAGCTAACTTGCACTAACTTAATTTTTGAAGTGGAAGATTGTTTAAATATCTGAGTACAGTTTTTCTCAGCTTCTGTATTTGAGAAAATACAGAAATTTCATTTCAGAAGTCCTATTAAAATACTAAAGTGCTAATAAATAAAATTGTCTTTCAGTGGTTTCAAAAAGCAGAAATGAAATTAAGTGGTTGGCAGAAAAAGATTCAGAAAGTGATGCGCATTATGTTGGTTTAGCTTTATAATTTATTTTTTTTTTACAAATACAGATTACATATACTTCTTTTTTGGATATACTATTCTGTTTAGACGCTTAGAGTTTCTAATGTTTCTAGATCAGTTTGGTGGCAGGTTGAAAATCTGTTCATTATTATGGATCCCTTGGTAGAGGGGGATCAGTATAATTAAAACTATTCTTGAGGTTTAATCTAGAACACGCAGAATTTATCTGAATAATGTCATCTGCAGATTTATGTAAGGACATGGGATGTTTGGGTGTAGCTCAACTGTAACAGCTAATGGAAGAGCAAAGTGGAGGAATTGAAACTCTTAGAGAAGGGATAAGAGATCTAATTCTTTATGAAAGCCTTCAACTGAAATTGCACAGGTAATCAGTTTAACAGCTTGATGCCAGTAAACAGACATGTTTCTCCTTTCTCCTTACTGCCTCACTGCCTGTCTGAGTCTGAGCAGTCCTACCTTTCCTTTTTTTTTTTTCCTGTCTGTTTTGATGTCCTTTCACTTAAACTGGCAAAGACTTTGCTTTTTATGACTGGGATAGTTTTGTGCCTAGTTGATGTGTTAATTCAGTTCTCAGGAGCCTTAGAGATAGCATAAGATAAGCAGCAACATGGAGCTGAATGCAAGTAGGTGGAAAAACTGGATCTTCTGGTGATGATGAGCTGTGAAGTTGGTTCACTATTTCTCAAAGAAAACAGAGTTCATGCATCTCATGGAACCTGTCTTTGCAAAAATGGGGGTGATAGGTTTACACAACAAACTGAGGCAGTGACACGTTGATTTTAGTTTAATCCAGTTAGTGTATAAAGTTGTTTCACAAAGATCAGGCTGCTGTCTCTGTGTTACTGCTGACTTCTTTGCATTGCATTTGTAATTATGCATCTCTGCAGTCTCATCACCAAGTCAATCCAACTGAAAATACCACAGCCCTCTTCCCTCCCAACCCCCCTGATTAGTTTTAATGTAATTCAGCACAAGAGGGGACATGCTTATGGAGAGGTGGGGGTAGAACTGTGTGGTTACTGGTGGTGGCAGTAAGAAAACCAGGACCTCCTTCCAGCAGCAAGATGTTGAGTTATCTTAAGCCAACTGTGAAACTGCAATCCAAAACATGCCCAACCAGTGACAGGGATTTGGGTTTTGATTGACAGATTCCTAGCCATGTTTCTCAGCAGGCTAGATTTGCTAAGTCTGTCTGTTTTAACAGATCAGCAGGCTTACTGTTATCCATGCTGCTGTGAGTAAAGCTAGCACATTTTGCTTACTTACACGTTGTTATGGAGGTAATGTATCATAGTGGCTATGGATCAGTAGACAGGTTCATGTGCAGCTTACTGCTCCTAACTCAGATTGGTTGTGAAACTCTACCTGTATTCATACTTTCATCAGCATTTTTTTTTGTTAATGAAATGTTGAAGAAGAAATGAGAAAAGGTAATAGGATATGCAGTCTGTCAGAGAAACACTAATTTCTTTTTTCAGTCAACACGATGTAATTACAGAGAGATTTTTAGCAAACTTTGAGAGAGGTGAAGCATCTTCTAACACTTCTGTTTACTTTATGCCATATTATGGACTTACTTATATTTTTAAGTGTCTTGAATCCTTTCTTTTCCAACTGTATAGAAGTTAACAAAAAATAAATATGGAGAGCCCACACCCTCAGAGGCATTTTCTTTAATGCCTTAAGTGGGAAATGGAGGTAATAGTTAAGCTAGTATATATCTAGCTATATTTTCTCTTTGAAACTGCTAGGTTTTTAATGGCTGTATTTATTTTAAACTCTTGGGCTTGCTGAGGGCTTGCCTGTGCACAGAAATGAATGTTCAGGAAGGTAGGATGTAAATTTAGAGAAAAATAAAGTCAGCCTTAGCCTTTACTAGCCTCTTGAAGTGTTTTTTCTGATCTTACTGGCATGACCACATGTTCCCAAAACTAAAGAGCTAGAAATAAATCAGGAGGCAGGGACACTATAGACTGCCAATGAAAGGTGTGTTTGAACCCCCAGGTTCAAATTGTCTGTGCTGTGCTGAGTGAAAATTAAGTTAAGGAGACTTGCTGGTGATACTAGGCTATTGCATCCCATCCACACTCCATGTTTGTGGAATGCATGAGCAAAAGAAATGTCCTACATTAAAACACTGAACTCCCACATTTCAGAGAGCTGCAGAATTTGACTGAAATCTGAATGTGGACGTTTGTGAACAAAGTGAATGTTAAACAAAGCTGCAATTAAGAAATGGTTCCAGTCCACTCTTAACTGACTTTATTCATATACCCCAAGGGATGCCACTGTTCAAAATCAGCATGTTCAAGATTTACTGCACATGTTAAAGCACAAACCCATGTGTCATTATTTCTCCACTGTCTCTGACACTGTAGTGGCAGACAGAGATATGGGACTTTGAATCTGGGTGTGAGATGCCACATGAAAAAATGATTGCAAATTCAAACCCTTGTTCTGTGAACATCAGCTTTCAGGATAGAGAGGAACATCTTATTTGAAAGGGGCAAGCACATACTAAGAGCTAACCTTTGACAGGCTAATATTTGACATGTCTGTCAGGGTAGAGGGTTTGTTGAAATATCATTGGATTTAGCTGAATTTCATATTAAACCTGTGTTCATAATAGTTGATTTGAAGCTGTATAACTTAAATACTTGACTTTTGAACCAGTTTCATGGTCATCTCATCTGAAGCACTATAGTGCCGCCAGCACACTGTTGTCTCTAGTAACTTAAACTATCCTAAATGTCACAGAGGTGGCTGCAACTCAAATAGTGTGCTTAAGTATTTAAGTGGTAAATTAATAGTTTTAATAAACAAATTACAGTGATGTCTAAATACAGTGTTTAAAATATAACAGCATAGAAAAGAAGTTTTTTTACAGGTTTACAGTTGGCTTTCTTCTGTATTTAAGGTGGCTTAAGGCATGCTGTTGCCACTATAGCAGGTCTTGAAGCTTATAAGTACATGAAATTTGAAGGGGGAGTTCATCGTGTTCAGCGGGTACCAAAGACAGAAAAACAAGGACGCATCCACACCAGCACAATGACTGTTGCAATATTACCCCAACCGACCGAGGTAATGTTTATCTTTTAGTATAACACTTTATAGACTTTACTACGAGCAATGTTTTTACATGCTGTATTGCTAATACCCGTGTTTTCTGTCTCTCTCTTGTTATTGTCTTCTAATGATCTTTTTAAATCTTAATTTTAAACTAAATCATATTTGTTTGTTTATTTTAATTTTTGTCTAGGGTGTGAAATAAAGAACTTCTGTATTTTCTCGTAATCGTAATCTCAAGAAAGTCGCTGGCAGTTTACTTCACTGTAACTTGAAAATTCACTCATCTCTTGCATTTTTGTAGGCTTTACATTTTTTGAAAAGTAACAAAAGACTGAATTAGTTTACAGAGCTCAAAGAGATTTCTTTTAGCACCTCCTCTTCCCCTTTTTTGTGGTGTCCTCACTTTCCAGAGTGTATAGGTGATAACTCATTCTCGCCATGTTTGCTTGGTTACAAACAACTGGCTAAGAATTAAAGCTTTGCTTTGATCTTTGTTTCATGTTGACCTAGCAAACAAAGATGTTACTGCTTCCTGTTCTCTCCCAAAGTTGTCTTGCTCCTTCCAGAGACCATCACCCCATTCCAGAGCAAAATCTTCCATTTTATCTAAAAACCATTTGGTGAAGTTCAAATATTGGTTAGCTCTTCTAGAAGAGGGTGCAGAGCTTTTGGAAGAGGGGGAAGATCAGTGCTAAAGAATGGTTATGCCTTAGGCTACTATTTGTTTGATTTCCCAGTTTCCATCATGTTGCATTCCAATTTGGCTACAAGGATTTGTTAACATGTTTATACATGGAAGAAAGCTACCACTCATAAACTTTTAAAAGTTTGATCTTGCCTGAATGTGCCTTATAAAATAAACCAGCTTTACATATCTGACATCTGCATAGGGAGAAACAACAAAAATTTGTTCTTTCTGTCTTTTTTTTTTCCCATCTCCCATGACAGATGAAGCTGCAAATTAATCCAAAAGATCTACGGATAGAAACAAAGCGAGCTACTGGAGCTGGAGGCCAGCATGTCAATACCACAGACAGTGCTGTACGGATAGTTCACATTCCAACAGGTGCTTTTTTTTTCCGTTAGTACAAGATCTACATTGCAAAACCACTGTCAGAATTTCTTTTGAAACTGTGTTTTTTTTTTCAAACATGGACAACAATAGAGCAGAGTTTTCATGTGTGTTTATAGCACTCTAAATGCACCATCGTGTACCCACTCCAATTTGTAACAGTGAAGATTACTGACTTCAGTAGATAAACAATCCATTTTGCCATTGAGCATGACACTCTAAAAGTGTCCAGATCAGTTTCTATGAAAGTTATATTTACACTTTCAAATAATGAAAAAAAAACCTGAAAAAAACGGAATAGGTTAAAATCTGATTATTTGCCTTCTCTTGACTAGTCTCTGAAAGAGAGATTGCTTTATTTACATACTAAAATGTTGCTTTTCATTGTAGAGAAATTGTTCATTTTCCATTTGTCTGCTGGCTCCTTTCCCATAGATTACACATATAATTAGGAAGCCCATGCCCACGGCTCGGGTTAGGAAACATAGGAGGGATAAGATACACCTTCAAATACTACCTCATTTTAGCTATCGTATCTTTTTTTCTTAATTGCCATTCTTAAGCTTTTTACTTCCTTTTGAGCAATCTACAACAGCTGCTTTGACTTTCATTGCTTTTTAGCTTTTCCTCTCCTCTACCACAAACATTAGTCAGGCTTTACAACCTCAGGATAATCTCGAGTGCTCCTTATCTTCACATATCCAGATTTTTGCCACCGATTTCTTCATTTTTATTGAAGATATTAATCCATTCTACACTTGTTGCATCACCTCAGCAAAGCAGAAGGTAAACAGTGGAGAGGATAGAATTCTGTTGAAGACAAAAAAAGCTCTCCAGATTCAAAAAGTTTGGATTTCCTGTAAGTTTGGGAAAAAAATCCAAACAATAAAACCAGCAAATTATAAATTATCTTATTTTTTTGCTAAAGGTGGTTATTAGTATTTGTTACAGAAATTTTTTGTACATTTTTGTTGTGGTTGCACACTGGAGATTGTTCATAGGGGGCTTTGTGTTGCTTTATCTCCTTTTTCCTATTCCACCTTTCCCTTCCTCATTCCTTTTGATTTCTTTTCCTTTACAGTTGTCCTGTTACTTCTTCTATTCCCCTCATCCTAGCTATTTTTATAAATCTTCATTGCAGTCCAAAGCTATTTGTAAACAAGTCTTTCATAAAGTAATACTGTTCAATCTTAGAAAAGCATACTGTGGTCTTAAAAGAGTTACTTAAAATAAATCCAAATAACAAATAGCTTGTGCTGTCTTCTGCCTGTATTTCTTCTCCCTACTCCTTTCTTAGGCTGTTCACTTCTTATCTTAACTTGAATTGTATGTTTTGAAGGGAGAAACTGCACCTTTATTTTTTTTAAGAAAATTGTGCCCACATTTGTATATTCTGATCATATTCTATATACTCATTATCTCTTGTATTTTATTACTCCTTAAATTCTGAATTTCCTGGAACTGTGGCGAAAAGTTGCAAGTATTAAAGGTGTCTTCTGTAAGTCAGCCACAATATGTATCTTTTATTTCATTATTTACCTTTTGTCTAAATTTCTTGTCCTATGGGTCAAAGCACCTGTACAACTCAGCCTGCACTTCTCTCCAAAAATGTATCATTAAATGTTAATAAGCCAGGACTTTTACATTCCCAATCCAAAATACGTTTTGAAGAAAGAAGCAGCTTATTGTAACATAATACAAATCTTCCAGAAATTGCAAAAGTATGTGCTAATGTTAGGTGTTAAATATTATGATATTTTTGGCAGGGATTGTGTCCGAGTGTCAACAAGAAAGATCTCAAATTAGAAACAAAGAGAAGGCTATGCAAATGCTATGTGCTAAACTGTACAATGCCAAGCTGGAAGAAGAAACCAAAAAGAGAAACAGTGTTCGAAAGGTTCAGGTAAGTTTCACTCAGTAAAGATGTAATTCTCTATGACCATAAGTCATTGGGGTAACTCCTGTGTTGAACTGCAAATAGTAAATGAAAGTACAGAAGAACAAGAGCCCAGGGAGGACTTGCATGAGGCAAAAAATCACATTCTACTTCAGCAGTAAAGGTCTGTTAGCCAAACTTAAAATTTCAGTAGTATGTAAATTCTAGAGATCTAATGAAACAAACTGGATTACAGCAAGAAGAATGAGAGTAGTATTGGAAAAACATGCAGTAAAATTGTTCTTTAACATGTTTGAGAGCAGTTACTGCAACTAGTGAACTGATCTGAGTACTATGTAACATATTTTGGATGAGTATGGGAGGAAGAGAAAGTTTTTGCTTTAAATGCTTTATCAGTAGTTCACCCTTTTTATAAAAAGATGATGATGATAAACTGATCCTTCTTATTTGACAGATTGGGACTAAAGGAAGGTCAGAGAAAATCAGAACATACAACTTCCCACAGGACCGGATTACTGACCACAGGATAAGCAGATCAGTGCATCATATTGAGTGTTTCATGCTAGGAGAAGAAAAGCTAGATGAAATGATACAAACTCTGAGAGAATATGCTGATTATGAATCTTTAATGGAAATTATTTCAGAAAATGAAAAAAAGAATCTGTCATGAACATTGCTCTTTTTCAGCCCATTACAACAGATGTGGACTTACGTCTGCAAAGGAGCTTCTTGGCGCACCACTCAGAAAATTCTACTGCTTTTCAGATCCTGAAAGATACCACAACTTGTTTCCTCATGACTGATAAACAGTTTTCTTACTTGCTAAGTAAAAGACTTTATTACCTTTATATGAGACGTTATTGCTGAAGCAGTTCACTTAACGTTTAGGCTGGAAGTAGCTGCAGTTTTTAACTTTCTCCACTGGGAAGATGCTGATACACCACTCTTGAAAGGTACACATTAAACAATTAGCTATTTTTAGTTCAAGTTTTCATTTAAACAATAGTTTAAGCATCAGTAGAGTGTCAAATAGCTTACTTGAGAGAAAAAAATGCTATTGTTTGAGTGATTAGAAGAAAGTAATAAATGGCACCACTTGTTAATTACTTACATGAAAGAGAGTCAAAGTGTATCTCATTTGACCACCTAGAGCTTATTAGTAAACACAAAAAAGAATGTTTGGGAATATCCCTTGTTCCAGGAAAAGAAAAAAACAAATCTGTGGAAGCCAAAGGGCAAGTTATATGAATTTATTTTGATTCAAAAGAGAAAAGAATCATGACACTATTGTTTGGCTGGTATTTCCATGTGGCTTCAGTTCAGTTTCTTCTTTATGTTTTTAATTAAGTCTCCAGTTTTTTGATTTTTCTAAATGTTACACAGTATGAATGGCATCTCGCTGGTTTTGTCTATTTATTTAAAACATTTGATCTGTGAAAGCAAAGTAAAGCTTTTGCCTTTTCATTTTACCATTGTATATGCACATGTTCACAGCTGTGGGTAAAGAAGGCTTTAACTTCTATTTTACATTACATTTTACAATCCCAAATATATAAAGCAATACAAACCCTGCAGCTTCCATGCCACGTTATCCCATCATGTACTCTACCTACACACACACAGAATGTATTTGAAGTATAAATACCAGGAAGTAAGAAATTGGAACCTAGGGAAAAATATTACCATGAATATATGAGTGTTCATTTTCAGACTTCTAATAAAAATTAGTGCAAGAAATCAGAATAGGAATAAATAATCTTGCTATGGATAGTTTATAGAAATGTATTATTTAAACATCCTCTATAAAAACCAATTATCAGTTTATTATCTTTTATTATATTTTAGAGTGCAGTTTGAACCACTTCATGTCAAAAAAATGCATAGAATCATTTAATACATTTATCAGCTTTGTTGTCTAGGAAATACTGTGTAGTAACTATGATTAAGTTCCAAATCTTTTAATTAAAGATGTATACATTAAATTCAGATTAGGAGCATCTGTGCATAAGATTAGGCATACATATTTCCTGTTGGTAAGTGTGAGACCGAGGTCTAGATTTACTAGCAGATCTACAACTCCCAGTTGGCACCTAAGAAAGTAAAAATAAACATTGTTGCATTTTGTGCGTAAAAATAATTAGATACTGGTTGGAGCAGACATGAGGACTGAAGTCTTTATTCCTACCAAATCAGTACTGTAAATGGAAGACTACAGAGCCCTTGTGACAGTCTTCCTGACTTCACTTAAAGCCAGGCTACCTTATGCCAAGTGATGGATGGAGTTTGTGATTCCTTCTCTCTCTAACTTAAGCTTCATATTCCTTCAGACAAATAAGAGCCATCAGTCAGGTCTAAGCACTGGTACTGCCTGAAACTTACCTGAGCGTTGGGAGTCTTTGTCACCCTAGACCTTCCCTGATGTTCTGGCTGGTGACCTGGCTGGCTACATCCTGCCTGGCTCCACAGCCTCCCTGTTCTTGTCTGGCTTCTGAACAGACACTGGATGCATTGTTGCCTTGCAAGTTGCCAGCTTCTGATCAATGTGAGAAAACCCATGGTTCTGGCAGGAGGCTGACAGAGGTACTCAAAAACTGGCATGTGACAGTGCCATACAAGGCAGACTTTGCTATCTTGAGTGGAACCTCCATGGCCTGTCCTGGCAAGTTTTACTGGGTGAAGACTTTAAGTCTCGTTCTTGCTCCAAATTTTAATGTGAGGTCTTCTGTCCCACTGCAAATGCAAGCTCCCTGAGCTGTTGAGATCGCAATGCACGATACAGTTCTTCCACGGGGAAGAACTCAGATGTAGGATACACTGCGCGACTTCAGGAGCCCTTCTCCGGTATAGAGGAGCCCTGCATACTCTGAGCGTGCACTCCGATTCTGCAAGGATGGGGGCAAGATCCCAGTCGCATCCATTTAGAAGAGAAACCCCAGATGTATTTGGGCGCCAGGCAGTGCTTAGGCTCGTAGGTTTCCCCCACTCTCTCCAGCCCCTCAGAACGGAAGTCTGCTGCTCCTTCAGGAGGGCGCTGGGAGACCGTTCGCGGGACGGGCGGGAAAAAAGGGGGAGCAGCCCGGAGAAAGGGGGGAACCGGGGGGAACCGGGGGGAACCGGGGGGAACCGGGGGGAACCGGGGGGAACAGGAGACCGGAGGGAAGAACCCAGCCCCGCTCTGCCGATAGCCCCGTCTCCCGCGCTCAGCTCCGCCCCCCCTCCCCTCCAAGCTCCACCCCTCGGAGCGCGCGCCAGCTCCTCACCACTCACCTCACTCCTTGCCGGCCGAGGAGGGAAAATATGATCCCGAACGGCTCCGCCCGCGGCTGCTCTGATTTGGCCCCCGCCTTCTGCCCGCCTCCCACTGGCTGCCGCCGCTGCCAGCGGCTCCCCATTGGGCGGCGCGATTTTGGATACCAAATTCAAAGTTTAAAGTACCCGGCGAGAGCAACCGCGCGTTCATTACCCGCGGCCGCGCAGCCCTGCAGGTGAGCGGGAGAGCGCCGCAAGGGGGGGTGGGCAGCGGGGCTCCGGCCTGAGGACTCTGCGGCAGGGTCGGCTTTGGGCAGCGGGGCTGAGGGCTGAGGACTCTGCGGCAGGGTCAGCTCGGGGCAGCGGGGCTGAGGGCTGAGGACTCTGCGGCAGGTTCGGCTTTGGGCAGCGGGGCTGAGGGCTCTGTGACCGGGACTGTGGGGGCTGCTGGCGTGCGTGGCGGCGGGACTGGTGGTGTTGGCGGCACTGTGAGGGGCACCAGGCGGATCGCACACGGGGATCCCCGGTGGCCGCCCGGTCCTGCCGCCCTCCGTAGCCTTGCCCCGCAGCTATCCAGCCGGCGGGACTAGGTGGATGGATGAATGGATGGATGGGTGGGATGGGAGGAGACGGGACGGTAGCGTACGGGCAGCCGCAGAGCCCAACGGTCCCGCCACCCAGTAGCGTGTGGGACTCGGGTCCGCGCTGGGGTGGCGAGCGCGGCATCCGCCGGCAGGCAGCGGCGGGCTGGGAGGTGCCGCGCCGCGCTGTCTTCCGCCCGGCCACGCCGCTGGAGGGGGCCATCCCCTGGCGCGCTCCTGTCCGTCCCGCCACCACCATTTCAGGGGGGATCCTCGGACGCGGGGAAAGCGGAGACCCCTGAAGGCGCAGGGTGCTGTTGAAGGGTCCGCGGGCACTGCAGGGCCGGGAGCCGATCTACCTGCAGCCCACCCGGGCCATCTTGAGTGCTGGGGGGGAGCAGCCTGACAGTGCCCGGGGGGCCCGCGGCTGAGGCAACTCGCCGGGGCACCGGGGCCGGCCCTGATGCAGCGAAACGTGGGGGAGGGGGGAAACACATTTCCCAGTTCTGCGGGGTTTCAGCCCAAAAGCTCCTCTGCTCGCTGGCGGGAAGAGGAGAAGGAGACTTAGTGAGGGCTTCCAGCTCTGCCCTAGCTCACACTGTACAAAGCCGTGAGCGTGTTTGCGCCTTTCTTCCCCCAAACTAAGGTACGGAGAAGGGGCTTTTAACTCTGAAACTTTCATGAAACACTTTTTTTTATAATACTTTTTCCAAAACTGTTGGAAGTGCTTAAGTCTCTTGAAATACCCCCTCCTGCTTGAAATAAGAGCAGATTATTTTTTTTTCCCCTATAGATTGCAAAGCATGTTGAAAATTTGTTCCCCTTAGATTTAACACAACGGCAATGGCTTCCTTCTCCCCTTTAGCCTTCTCCCATCCCCCCGCAATTGTTAATATAGATAGCACCGCACCTCGGGGGGAGGGGAAAGGAAAAAAGCAAGAAGAGATCCGTTTCCCTATAATATCTTTTGACCCTCTTAAAATCATGTTCGTAAGCAACCTTTGTTTCACTTTGACCAGTCTTTCAAGAATGCTGCTTTCCATTGTCATTTTCACATGCATCTAAGCCCTCAAGCTTTCCCTGTGACACCCAGCCTCCTCCCCTCTTAAAATGCCTCATGAGGTACCTGGCTGCATGAGCAGCATTGCCTCTGGGCTTGCTTGCAAGCTTCAGGCTTCTCTGGCCTGGCATACCCCTACCAGGGCCTGCTGTCACCCAAGGACCCTCTGCCATTGAGCTGTCTTGCAGGGGCCACAAGTGTCCTTAGTATATCCCTGCATGTAGGGTAGGAAATGGAGGCACCAGTCTGTCTCGAAGTAATCTGTACTGGTGGAAAGGTGTAAAAAACCCCAGTAAAATCGCCCAGTTGGTTTTCCCATCCCAAAGTAAAGGAGTGTAAAGCTCCAATTTTCAGGAGATAGATTTGCATAGTGGCTCTTACAAAGCCTTAGTCTCACTAGTTGTCTGGTTTAGACACTGGAGGGCGACCTAGATAAAAGGTTAAAATTCATAATGCAGAACAAGGCATGGTTGATTATTTATAACAAAAAGTATTTGTGATACACTTTAGCTGTGATGTAATATTGTCCTTTTTGTTTCTTGCAGGATACAAACAAAATAATGAAATCAAACCTTAATCGCTCTTTCAAGATGAAATGTGACTTTGGTTGTATGTCTCTTCATGCTGGGTTTGCACCACTGAAGTCTACTGTGGAGAAATCAAGACTAGAAAAATCCTGCCCCTTGAATTATGAGAAGGGTTTTTGTAAAAGGTGTGCTGAAGAGCATCAGAAAATACTCCTTAGTGACTCGTACCATGTGGCCAGCAGAAATCTAAATCCTGAAGATGAAGGAAGACCTGTACATAACAAAGAAAACAAACAAGTAACCCAGAGACTTGATGAAGGTATCTATGAAATGGAGGCTCTGGAAAACAGTAAGTTTAATGAGGACAGTGGTTATTCCTCTATATTAAGTAATCAATACACTGATGCAATAGAACATGAGGATATTATACCTTTGGCTGGGAATCTCTGTGGAACACCGAAGCATTGTCTTATGAAGAACCAAACCCAAACACAGTTTTCAAAGAAAACTTTGTTGCCAGTGATCCATTATGAAGAAATGATTTGCTCAACTTTGAAAAAAGGTGGTAAAAGAAATCTCAAGTCTTGGGCTGCAGTAGACAAAATTGTTTTTATGGGAAAGATTGAACTTTGCAACCTAATTGGAAAGAAAATGGGATTAGATAGAATAGACATACTTGCTGAACTCTTCCAAAAGGACCTGAAGCATATATTAGCAAACATTTTAAGGCATCTTGGCGAGACGGACTTGATCAAGTAAGTATATTAATCCCATTGTGTTTCACTGGAAAAGGAAACAACCTAATCAGGTGGCTTAAGAATGTTTTACATATGGGGGCTGTGACATATGCTCAGTAGTCAGTACTATGTAGTAACATATTAAAACATGAGCTGTCAATGTAAGCCATTACATATATGGAGAATGTGTCTTTTTCCTAGAAGGCAAATTTATAGATTACAATTGTGAACATATCCCATCTTCTACATGAAAGAAAAAGATAACATAGTTATTCCCACCATTAAATAAAAAGTTTTTCCCTTTCCTAAAAGGTAACTGATGTTTGTATTCTCATTGCAGTTTTGCCAAAGTCAGCACAACATGGCAGAAAATTCTACAAGAAGATAAATGGATTTTCCAAATTTATAGTAAAGCTGTGAAAAACCTTTCCGTAAGTTTCTGCACTTGTTAGATATTTCAAGCCTAAACCAGCAATTTGAAGACTCCTGCCAGGCCTTAGCAATCACGGAAGAGTTTTTTAGGCTGAAAACTTTGGCACTGGAGTGTCTGAGTCTATTCTGTTAGGATGCCCTGCTTCAGGTGTTGCTGGTCACTTCACTGTCTTTTGAGCCCAAGCAAGGTTGATAGAGAAGGTTGCCCAAGGAGAGAGGCAGATGTTCTTAAGAGCTTCCACATGCCCTGTGTTACAGAGGAAGGCAGGAAGGGGAGAGGGTCAGTTCCAGCACTGCCCCTTAGAGGCTCTATGCAGAGGCTTGCTTACTTCAGCATCTCCACTGATGAAGAAGGGAGAGAGGCACTGAAAAAGTGCAACATGTTGGCTGCAGAAAACAGCTTTTTGCACTGTAGCTATTCCTAATTCCTATTTGTTCTATGAAATAAAAAAAAATACATTAAGCATTGTGCTTTACCATGGCAGGACTCTTTCAAAACGCTAGGGGTGTTTTTCTTCCTTGAGAGGTGGATATACAATGAAGCAAGACTTGGGATCTGCCACAGAATAAGGTGGTCAGCTACTTAGGATTTTAGGCTGTATTTTATGGTTCTAGCCTGTTGGGGTGAAACAGTTGGACACCACTGAGCATTCATCCCATAAAGTTCGATTTCTTCCCTGCTATTGTATGTTTTTTGTTTTTTTTTTTAACTTGAATTGCAAACTTAAAAAATTGGTGGGAGGAGTTTCCTATTTAAAGCTTCAAGCATTCCTGCTCCCCATAAAGAATTAGAAATATTGCTTTGGGCTTTTAAACGCTGCAGTGACCAGGTTACATGCTCTGCCTAAATAATTATGATGTGTTAATATGATAGTACATTGCATTACATAACGGAAGATGGGTGGTTTTGATGGTCTGACCTAGAGGTCTGTTCTATGAATTTATGGCAGCTGTTGCTCAGAAAGCTAAGGTAAAATTAGTAGCGTACTACTTTGTATGAAGTTTTATTTGTGGAAACTTAGGCAGGAGGAAGGATCAAAAATGAGTTGCTGGCTTCTATTAAACGAAAGCTCAGCATCAGAAAAGTCTCTTCTCAAAATTTGTTCTTTTTCTTTTTATTAGAATGGTACTAAGACACCAGAGCATGCTGCAACAAGGGATTATGCTCTCTATCGAGCGGCTTTAGCTGCCATTCAGAAAGCAACCCCACCAAAAAACTTGGATAAAAAAAGCACCAGATCCAAAGCATCTAAGAACCACAGCAGGCTGATGGAGTTTTCTGAGGTAACTGGTGATTTAAATTCGTCTTCAATTTCTCACATGTTGTCTGGCACACGATCAGCTTGTAAAGTGTGTTTCTGAAAGTAGTATCTCCAGTTTGAAGTGCTTGTAACTCTTATTAGTATTTCTGCCAGATTTTGTTTATTTGCTTTTGCTTATTTTAAGACAATGCCACGAGTGGAGAATATCAATATATTGGGTTGTTCTACTTTTTTTTTTTTTCTTTTCTTCCCAGGTACCTAGGGTACCTTCAAAATGCCTTTGTGATGTTTTGGGGGTTGTTTTTATTTTTGTCTTGGATCAGACATGAAAAAGTTCAGTAATTTCCTCTTAGTTTCCATGGACTTATAATGAACCATGTTTTCCAGATAAACTAGAAAACTGACAACTTTGCTAAAAAATACAGACCAAAGACTAAGTAGCTCTTTAGGTCTTATATTTTAAAATAAACAAATAGATATTTCTCCTGTTTATTCTGTGTTTTTTGTTTTGGTTTGTTTTTTTCTTTAACTAATTATCTAACATTAAAATGTTTGGTGTTTTTAATGACATAGTTTTAGTGTGATGCACATTGGGAGTTGTCAACAAGTGGCCCAACAGCCTTAAGTTTCTTTTCACCTTGTTATTTTTCTTAAGCTTTTTTGTCTGCCACATATAGGTGTAGGTCTACATTGCAAGTCTCACAGGACTTGAAAATATTTATTGAAAATCATTGGTTATTAATAAGCAACAGATTTTCCAAACTAGAAAAAGATTTCATACTCAAGCTCAAAAGTCTTCTTCTTCAACTTGGTGTAGTAAGAGAAGATGATGTAATAGCACTGGAAAGTACGATGAAGCTCCTCTAATACTACTGTATAGCACTTTATAGCATTAAGAATCTGAATATTCAACTGTACACTGAAGAGGCAGTCTAAAAGCACACAATTTAGTTATATAAACATTTTGCTTTTAACATCTAAATGATATAAAGTGCTATGCAGGTCTATAATTTTCTAATGCTGAATGATTTTGAATAGTGGACCTGTTTTTGTGTCAAAAAATGAATTAATTTGAGAGAATTAGGAATTGCTTTTATTTGGTGTCTCAAGCTAAGCGCACTACAGCTGAAGTTTTGGGGACATATTTCTAACTTTTCAAAAATGTATTTTCTTTTTTTTTTTTTTAACTGAAGTTAGCTAGATCACCATCTTTGCATGAAGTCTGGAGGATTCGGGAAGGC